GAATACTGATTATTACATATTGATAATTCATGTTGGGATGGGCGTTCTTATAGCGACCGCACGATGGGCCGGATGGTGGTGTCGAACAGCATGACAGGGATCTCAGGTGGTAGAGGGCGTGTCGGGGTGTGAACCAAATTGCAGATGAGGCCGTGGTGATCAGTGAGAGAGGGCAGGTGTGTGTGTGTGTGTATGTGTGTGTGTGTGTGTGTGTGTGTGTGTGCGTGCGTGCGTGCGTGTGGGGTGTGTGTGTCCTGCAACAGACTAGAAATTAAATTTATTATGTGTTTTGTTTTCGTCTTCCTCCTCCTCCTCCTCCTCTTCTTCTTCTTCTTCTCCTTCTTCTGTTTTACGTCTTGCTTTTCCCTCTCCTTCCTTTATTCTACGATCCACATCCTTCTCTACTTGGTCTCTTGTACCTTCTCCTCTTCCTTCTTCGTTTACCCTGTGTATTTCTTTTCCTTCCTCCCTCTTCTTCCTCCTTTTCTTGTGCTTTATTCTTTGTCTTGATTTATCCTCCTACTCTCTTTCTTCTCACCTTTTCTCCTCCCATCATCATCATCATCCTTCATCCTTTTATTCTCTGTTTTCTCTGTTTCTCTTCACCTCCGTTATTTTTTCTCTACTCCCCTGTTGAGAGAGAGAGAGAGAGAGAGAGAGAGAGAGACGGGTCAAAGGTTAGGTTAGGTAATGTGAGTGATGAATGTGGTTGAAGGAGGTGGTAGTGGTGGTTATGAGTGTGATTGAGAGTGATGGTAGTAGTTGTAGTAGTAGTAGTAGTAGTCGTAGTAGTAGTAGTGACGGTACTGCTTGGTATCGTCTGGGTTGGAGGGTATTGCGATGGCGTCAACAGGGGAGAGGAACACTATACCAAAATAACCTAATTGGTGCTTCAAGCGATACGGCTGGCTGAAGAGGAGGGCGAGGAGGAGAGAGAGAGAGAGAGAGAGAGAGAGAGAGAGAGAGAGAGAGAGAGAGAGAGAGAGAGAGAGAGAGAGAGAGCACAGGACACTAGCAAGATATAACACAGCTGTAAAAGTTATCGGTTCTGTCTTGTCCCGCCAGATCATCACACAACTTTCTTTGGCTTAATTACATTAGCATAATTATTTTATGTATTTTTTGGGCCGGTCCGTCTTTCCTACCTGGGGAGGGGGGGAGGGTTTTATTTTATTTTTTGTACCGGGAAGTTCATAGGATCACATTGATATTTATTTAAATTTATATCGAAGAAAAGTATGTTTGAGAGTTAACTTAAAACTTCCCAATACCTGTTCTCTCTCTCTTTATTATTTATGGGACATTTTCGTGGATATTTGTGTGTGTGTGGAGAGAGACACGTATTAAGGAATAGGTTAGGTTAGGGTAGGGTCTCGAGAGCTCCACGTCTTGGGAGAATCGAACTCTCCAAGATTTTTTTGTTTCAGTGACTGAGTCTCTCGGGGAGCTGTGAGTCTCTCGGGGAGCTTTGAGTCTCTCGGGGACCTGTGAATCTCTCGGAGAGCTGTGAGTCTCTCAGAGAGCTGTGAGTCTCTCGGGGTGTTGTGTTTTATAAGGCTCCGACCTTAGGGCTTTGGTTAACGACAGGTCTGCGCCTCAAAGACTCCTGGCTTGGAGTCTAGCGTGGAACCCAACAGGAGGCCGAAGGAGGCGGTGATGGGGATATCCTAGGCCTCGACTGCAGTGATAGAAGGAGTCTCTGAGGCTTGATGGAGACGTCAACAAACCCACGAGCAGGGCTGCCAACAGTGTCATGAGAAGCGGCAAAGGGATGCGAAGGTCTGGTAGGGTTGGTTGGCCTGGCGGAAGAACACACACACACACACTCTGGCGGCGGACCACAGCTGCACCGGGTCTATTATTGGAAGATGGTTGAAGGTGGGGGGAAGCGACCTCCAGAAAGGTCTACGGTACGCCAGCCCTGACGAACCATCGCCAGCACTAACTAACCATCGTCTCTCGTTCACATAACACACATAACGTAGCCCTCACAATGCCAGGGACGGATTATATCTTGGTTCACCTGAAGAAGAATTTATACCCCAGCTTATTTCACCTGGAGATTAATTAAGATAGGTTAGTGTTAGATTAGGTTAGTGTTAGATAAGATTAGTGTTAGGTAAGGATAGTGTTAGGTTAGGTTAATGTTAGGTTAGGTTAGGATGGATTATCTTCAGGTGAAATAATCTGGGGTGCAGATTGTTCAGGTGGTCCTATATCTTTGAGACAAGGCCAGAGTTTGGTCCACACACTAACCTAACTAACGCTATCACTTGAGGGTTATGTCAGACGATTACCAACACACACACACCGGGTGACGAGAAGACAACAGACAGGGTGCGTGAGGTGCGTGAAACCGAGGAGGGTGAATACGGGAAGACAACACGCAGGGTGGGGGAGGAAGATGTGGGTGGAGGAGAGAGAGAGAGAGAGAGAGAGAGAGAGAGAGAGAGAGAGAGAGAGAACTCTGTCCTTCCTCCTCCTCCTCCTCCGCCACCACCTCTCAACACCACAACCCCTTCCCATCACCACCACAACCCCTTCCCATCACCACCACAACCCCTTCCCATCACCACCACAACCCCTTCCCATCACCACCACAACCCCTTCCCATCAACGCCACAACCCCTTCCCATCACCACCACAACCCCTTCCCATCACCACCACAACCCCTTCCCATCAACGCCACAACCCCTTCCCATCACCACCACAACCCCTTCCCATCACCACCACAACCCCTTCCCATCACCACCACAACCCCTTTCCCATCACCACCACAACCCCTCTTCCCATCATCACCACTACAACCTTTTCCCATCACACCACAACCTCTATCAATCAATACAACCTCTTCCCATCACTGACCACAACCCCTTCCCATCAACGTGCCACAACCCTTCCCATCACCACCACAACCCCTTCCCATTAACGCCACAACCCCTTCCCATCACCATCACAACCCCTCCCCACCACCACAACCCCTTCCCATCACCACCACAACCCCTTCTCCCATCACCAGCCACAACCCCCTTCCCATCACACCACAACCCCTTCCCATCACACCACAACCCCTTTCCATCACTTCACTACAACCCCTTCCCTTCAATTTCACAACCCCTTCCCATTAACGCCGCCACCTTCCCATCGCCTCGTCACAACCTCCCTTCCCATCACCACCACAACCCCTTTCCTTATCACTCACCACAACCCCTTCCCATCACTACCACAACCCCTTCCCATCAACGCCACACAACCCCCTCTTCTTCTCACATCAAGATCTTCCTCGAAGTGACGACACAGGCGGGGGGTGCCATTCAGGGTCCGGGCTGGCACTGAGCAGAGTCTGGTGCCAGCAGTGCCGTGTATGGGCAAATCTTGCCCGGCGGTGGTAGCGAAGAGGGGCGCTCCTCTCCTGCGGGTATGGTTACCCTACACACTCCGCCGGGGGCATGGCCGTGGTAGGAGGGGGCATGGCTGGGGGAGGAGACATGGCCTGGGTGGGGGTAGATAGACGTGGGGTGTTTGGATTGCGGGGAGGAGGTTGTATGGGGTGATGTGTCCCCCCGCCCTTAGATTGACACAGAACAACACACTTCACCTGTTGTGTGTGTCGGATGAACATGGTATCGATGTTGCAAGATGACATCGTCCTCAACGGGTTAAACCATCGTCCTCATCATCATCATCATCATCATCATCATCAAAGGGTGGTTACATTGTTCTCATAGATAACGGATACAGAGATTTTAAAGATAAAGGTATGGTATTAAGATAAGGTAGTTATATTGCTACGATAAGGTAGGTATACTGCTACGATAAGGTAGGTATACTGCTAATATACTAACAAGGAAGTATACTATTATAAGAATAAGAAAAGTGTTTGATTAAAGACAACAACATTTCTCCTCTTAGGTGAATGAGGAGGACACGTGGATGAGGAGGAAGTGTGTGAAGGGGTGTTAAGAACTGAGAGGAAGTGACGTCATGAAGGAGGCAGCTGGGCGGGCGGAGGAGGAAGAGGGGAGGTAGTGGAGAGTGTAGGTGGAGGAGGGTGGCTGGACGACGGAGGGAGGGCGCGGGAGGAGGAGTAGTAATGCGGGTGAAGGAAGAAAGGAATGGAAAGGAGGAAGGATAGAGGATGGAAAATAATGATTACCGGAGGAGGAATAGGTGAAGGAATGGGAGGGAAAGGAGAGAAAAGGAGGTAGGATAGATGGAAAAGAATGATTATCGAGTATAGGAATTACTTCTGAGCAAGGCAGATTATATAAACAAACATTGACTTGGTAAATGTTATGGAGGGGTGAGTGTACAGAGGGTCCGTGTTGGTGAAGGGGTGAGGGAAAGAAGGAAGGAGGGAGATTGAGAATGAAGGGGGTAGGAAGAGAAGGAAGGAGGAAAAGAAGGAAAGCAGGAATGGGGTAGGAAGTGAAGGAAGGAAGGAAGGAGGGGAGGGAGGGAGGGAGGGAGAGAAGGAAGGGGAGGACAAGGCGGAAAGTAGGAAGAGAAGAAGGAGGAAAGCAGGAAGGGGGTAGGGAGAGAAGGAAGGAAGAGGGGAGGAAATCAAGGAGGGAAGAAGGAGAAATTTGTAGATAAAGGAGAATGGAAAGGGAAGGAGTCTGCATAGAAGAGGGAGACAGTGTGTGGGAAGTAAAGGATGAGAAGGAAGGAGGGAGGGAGGATGATGAAAATGCACGCGTGGCGGAGGGTAACAGCTGATAGCGTGGAGGGCGCTGAGGGGGAGAGGAAGAGGCTGCACCGTGACGGCTTTACTTTATTTATAGTTTTTACATATTTGTGGTGGTGGGGTGGTGGGTGATGGTGGGGGGTGGGGTGGTGGTGGGGTGGTAAGATGGCGGTGTGGTGAGGGAATCATGAGGTTCAAGCTAATAAACTCTAGGTCAGGGTGACTTCGGTCCTGACTTCTGCATCAAGGAATGGGAGCTGGGGGGGTAAATCCACCTGACAGTCACTGACGATGGTAGCTCACGAAAACAAAAAGTATGATTTATTCCAGTTGAAGCCTTTAATTTAATGCTACTTTTACCGCAAACACTGTAGAGTATTGTAGACAACTGTAGATAGACTTTTGCTTGATGTGGTTAAAAATATGTCTTTTTATTGAAGAACTGAGACTGCCTGTCTTGTGTTAATATCGTCTCTCTTGTAAGACTCGTGGCAATAAATATTTGAGGTTTATTTCATCCTAAGATGTAAAGGATATTTAGTCGTTAACGTAAGTGATATCTTAAGTAGGAGTAATTATACTGCCCACAGGATATAAGTGTTTTAACAATGTTTAAGAAATATACTTTATTTATGGATGTTTACCAAGAGAATAGGATCTCGTTACCCCAGTTCATTTCACCTAAAGATTAACCTGACCATCCTAACTCTATTTGGGAGAAATGAGATAAAGTTATTTTAATTTAGGTTAGTATTCGCTTTTGTTGGTGGTTATTAAGAATTTATTATTTTTGTTGCTTTTTTCAGTGCTATGAGGATCCTGTTGAGCAAGGTGCCTCGTTCCTGGATGGTGGACGAGAAGAAAGATGACGGATATACGGCTCTTCACCTAGCCGCCCTCAACAACCACGTCGAGGTGAAGAATAAAATCATCTCTCTCTCTCTTATATTTTCTAACAGTCGTAATAGTTTTTAAAATGTCCTCAGAATCATTTAATTATGCTATATTATGACTTAACACTGTTATATATCAATGTACTATAATTATACGGTACTTATATTGCACCCCAGGTATGTCATTATATATATATCAATGTACTATAATTATACGGTACTTATATTGCACCCCAGGTATATTATATAATTATTATGCAACACAGGTATGTCAGTACAGCTACTCCTCGACTTACGACCACCCGGACATACGACCGCCGCAGTTGTACCAAAATTTTTTCAAATTACGTATTTTCGAGTCCTTACTTTAGTGATTGCACTGTGTACTGACAAAATTTTCGTTTGTAATTCCCTTTAATATGGCTGTCAAGCTTAAAAGTGAGAGTTTTGTGGTGCTGAGAAGAAAGAGAGACACCCATTTTAGATTTTCTATGTATTATTTTCCCATTTTAGACTTGCAACCAATTCGACTTACGACCTGGATTTGGGTCCCTAACCCTGTCGTAAGTCGGGGGCTGCCTGTATATATAATTGATATGTACTATACCGTCAAGAATATAAGAATGGAGGAAACTGCAGCGGGCCTATTAGCCCATACTGGGCAGTCCCATTTACACCCAACCCCTATTGCTCATATATCCATCCAACCTATGTTTGAAGCTATCCAGCATATTCGAATTAATGATGATATTTTAGGTAAATTGTTCCACTCGTCCACTATTCTATTTCCAAACCAATGTTTACCTATTTCGCGTCTAAATCTAAATTTGGATAGTTTGAGTACCTTTGTAATCCCCCCTTTGTTTAGCCCTGATTTCCATATATACACCTCTATCATATCGCCCCTCACTCTACGTCTCGCTCTACTTTGTATATATTACTGTACTGCATGCTGTTATATGCGCGTACCATACAATAATGTCATATATATATCCAATTGTCATGGTACACTTCATTACATAACTTCTCAATGCTTGTCTCAACATTCGGTTTAATGTTACAATGATGTAAAGAAAGTGGTCGGGTGCCAACATAAAGTGACACCTGTGCCAAGACGTGTGTGTGTGTTGTGCAACCCGGCTTATACTGTACATGCTGCCCCATCCCCACCACCACCACTCCTTGCCAGAGTCATCTTAACATGCCACTTGACGGTGCTATAAACTCCGTCTCCCTTTAAACATAAAAAAAATAATATACTGAACTATACAGATTCCCTTTGTGATTTGAACTTAGTGAGTGATATCAGCAATGAAATGTTAGTAAATTTGTACAGTAATATCTTTGTTGACTGTTATGTTTATCTCTCGATATACAGTAGTATATCTAAGTGTTGTATGTTCCCAAAGGGGTTCCTAAATGATGCACAGAAATATATATAATTTGTAATTTGCATATTTTATGGCAACCTTAATCCTCACCCATGATGAGTTAAGAACATGAGTAATGATTTGCAGCTGAAAAGTGTCCCAATGTTTAGCTGAGGTTGTACTTATAAATTTACACTTTAGTAATGCCCTCATCTCTACTTACCACCTGCAGAAATTTACCTGTGCATGTCTGTGATTCATTTGAACATATGGAGTGTGCTTCTGAAGGACAGTATGTGAACTTTCATTCATCTTTGGTCAGGTTGCTGAGCTTCTGGTCCACCAAGGCCGTGCTAACATGGACCTTCAGAATGTGAACCTGCAGACACCACTCCACTTGGCAGTTGAGAGACACCATACACAGATTGTTAGGGTAGGTGAAGGTGTGATTATTATTTATGAGATAGTTTTTAATGATCAATATAGATATACAATATTGATACATTATAGATACAGGTATGTTACTTAGAGTTGTCTGATCTCATAGATATTGAGAGTTTGGTGGTGCTTGGAAGTGAAGAAAAGGTGTCGGCATTCCTGATTAACGAGAAGTCTTTAGACATGCCATTTAATTTAAAGTTGGGACCCACTGCAGCCCACTATCAATGGTAGTTGGGGCCCACTGCAGCCCACTATCAATGGTAGTTGGGGCCCACTGCATCCCACTATCAAAGGTAGTTGGGGCCTATTGCATCCCACTAGCAATGATTGTTGGGGCCCATTCCACCCCACTAGCAATGATAGTTGGGGCCCATTGCATCCCACTAGCAATGATAGCTGGGGCCCATTCCACCCCACTAGCAATGATAGTTGGGGCCCATTGCATCCCACTAGCAATGGTAGTTGGGGCCCATTCTATCCCACTAACAATGATAGTTGGAGCCCATTCCACCCCACTAGCAATAATAGTTGGGGCCCATTGCATCCCACTAGCAATGACCTATGCATTTGTCACCAGGTTTATAATTTTTTGAAAAGAATTACTCATTCATCTGATCATTTCCTGATACTGTGTCAACTGTGCCATCCATCGTGATACCATTAGTTAATAGAAAAAAGACACCTTGGTAATATCCACATCTTATCACCTTGTGTACGTGTCATTGGCTCAGTGTACAGTAGCTAGGATTTAAGAATCAGGGTAGTAGAGAATGTTTTTGTTTTTTTTTAGGGTGAGGAAAGTGGAGCCCATAAAGATTGCCTGTGGAGGGCCCATGTACCATGACACAAAGGCAGAAATGGCCAGTACAACTCTGGTACTATGTTCAGTAGCTGTAATTATGTATGAGTGGTGATCATTAACTGAATTATAATTTTATTGTTTTTAGCTGCTTGTTCGAGAGGGTGCTAACTTGAATTTAGCAGACAAGGATGGAGATACTCCATTGCATGAAGCTCTGCGGCACCACACACTCTCCCAACTGCGGCAGCTGCAGGACATGCAAGATGTTGGAAAGGTGAGGAGAGGGAGGAATGGCCAGATTACTGTACTCACACTTCTATTAATTTCTTCTCACTACTGAACATGAAAAGGAACATGATTTTCAACTGAAAAGTAGAAGCTATTTGAAAATCTGCTGTTCAGTCTGATTTGATTATTCTGTGACTCAGTTAATATAATTTGATAGTTTATACACTACTCCCCATCACTGTGATATGGTACAATATTGTACTATACACTGCACTGTATCGCACACCATCACAATGTTAAATCTTATTGTACTCGGAGACATTATGTTATGTTAGACCTAAGATCACATCAGTAACCATCATTCCTTATATCATAGTAATTAAGGAAGCTTTAGTGAGGAATATACTGTAGTGAAATCAGGAATCTGTTGCAGTGCTCTACCTAAAACAACAGTTGTCACTACATGGTACAAGCTTGCCACTTCCTGTATTTATATAACATTTTATGAATTCCTTTTGTTGCAAATCCCTTTAACTTATACTCTTTAAGTCACCTCAGTTGCTGATGGGTTTGGGGACCCAAGGAGTTGACAAGAAGAGTCCAGCCTCCATTGCCTGTCTCCTCGCTGCTCATGGTGCTGACCTCAACATCAAGAACAAGAAGGGACAGACTCCACTAGATCTCTGTCCAGACCCCAACCTGTGCAAAGCCCTTACCAAGTGCTATAAGGACAAGTCTATGTAAATATAGCTGTTGCTTAGTGAAAGAAATAATGAATTTCATGTGAATTTTAGAAATGTTGGCATTTTTTATTGCAATTATGTTCCAATTTCTGTATAGTATCGTAACATAAAGTAATAGGATTTTTTTTAATGTCTAAAAAAATCTGAATATTTTTCATGTAATGTACTGTATATAGTATTTATTTTATACTAAAATTTTTTTGTATTCTCTGTATCTTGCACATTTAAGATACAGTACAGTATTTTGCATAATACTGTACAGCACTGTACCAAATTTTGCAATTTACAGTTCCGGTGATATGGGTGCACTTGAAGTGTGTGAAGAGGAGAGTTTGGAGGAGTGTATGGTGTGCTCAGACACCAAGCGGGACACTCTGTTTGGGCCTTGTGGCCACATAGCCACTTGCTCCATCTGTTCCCCACGGGTCAAGAAGTGCCTCATGTGTAAAGAACCTGTCCAGTCTAGAACTAAAGTAAGAATCTCTGAATATGGAATGTGTTGTAAAACCATTACACTAGCAGTACACTATAGCAGTGGCTGGTGACAGAGTTGCCAATGAAAAGATGAATACTGTATATAGGTGGTGAACATTTGTCCAGAATACAAGAGCACCCCACAGCCCATAAGCTTAATGGAACCATCTTAGTTTGTTAATTAATAGACTTATATAAAAACTTTGTAAGACACCATAATTGAGATTACTTGATAAAAGAAGTAGTGTATAAGATAAATATTATAATTTACAAATGGAAATTTATTTTGTGGGAAGAAGTCTGTATTAATTGCTCTGATATATATTGTATACGGTATAACTAAAAAAATTCCACTACATTATACTGTATACCAGTAATGTGTGATGATATTCATTGTTTACAAACACTATGACCTTTTCCATATGACTAACCATAACAGTGCTTGAGTGAGTAGCTCTGATTCATGATGCCTTTACAGATTGAGGAATGTGTAGTCTGCTCAGACAAACAGGCTACAGTTCTCTTCCAACCCTGTGGACACATGTGTGCATGTGATAACTGTGCCTCCCTCATGAAGAAGTGTGTACAGTGCCGTGGAGTCATTGAAAAGCAGATTCCATTTATTGTCTGCTGTGGAGGACAAGGTGGGAATGAGAAATGTTCTGTAGTTGTTCCCATAGAACTTACAAAGTGGTTGAACAATATGAAGTTTATTGTACAGTTTTGCTTCATGTTGTCTTCAACCCTTACAGTACTGTACTGTACAGTATCTATATAACCATTCTTATCTCTGTTATCCATGTACTGTACACACTGTACTTTTTTTTCAGTAGCCTCGATTGATGTACAGTATACTACATCTTTTTTCCACAGTGTTTGTAGTAATATAGACAGTCTATGATTTTCTAATTGATTTGATGTTCTTCAGTTGATGAATATGGAATTTCAATTATTCTATAAAAAGAAAAAACACTTCAAGATTATTGCTAAAGTACAATGCACCTTGCCTTTGTCAGACAACCTGTTGGTATGATTAACTCTTATTGTATACTTCTGCATTATGTGTGTGATTCTAATATATATGTACGTACAGTGAAATGTCACTTTACTGGACCACTTATTGCACTGGACAGTTTGAAGCAGCGGAGATTCCAGTAAAACAAAGGTTTTGCTACTCCCCCGCCCCACCTCCCAGTACAGTATAAACTCGTTTACTTGAACTATATGGGATACACACCTATTTGATATTATGAAAAAATTTGCCTTTACAACAAACTGCATACTGTATACTATATCCAAACCTCTGCAAAAAGGAGCATAAAGGTTACCCCAGTTCATTTGTATATCTGTCTGTCTATGTGGATGAACCTCCTTTTTAACCAAAAAACTTGTTTAATTAGCTGGTCCTGCAGTTTCAATCAAGTTACTTTCAAACTTGAGAGACAAATTAATGCGTGTACAACTGCACATTTTCTCTAGATGATACAGATCAGTATACATCAAGGTCATAGCTGGAGGTCAAAGATCTCAACTTTGGAACATAACTCATGTGTTAATATAGATATTTTAGCAAGACTGTATGGTGGTGTGTGTGTCATCACAAGACAAAATAATGATTACCGATTCAAATTTCTTGGTTAAGTTCAGAGCCAAAGAAAAATTAAAAGATTAAAACCTTGTTCAGGGTTTGGTGCTTGTATCATCACTAGACAATATGCAGAATATGAAATTCACATGTGCGTGTGTGTCAAGGGTGAAGGTCACTTCTGATGATCAGCAGTAGGCAGATTATAACTTATATTAAGAGAGAAATTTCAATAATATATTACTGTACATGATTATGTTTCATCTTTAGGAAAAGTGTTAGAACATCATATTAAAATATCTGTGGCACAAGTCATGATCACAGAAGGTTAAAGATTATCTGGAGCATAACTCTTTGTTCAAGTGGTAATAATATTTTGATGATACTTGACATTTTAATGGAATTTTAAATGACTATTGTATTTGTTATCACAAGACAAGTGTAAAACACGTAATTAAGGTTCCCAGTGTTAAAGCTCAAGGTTACAGCTGAAGGTCCAGATAAATACTATTTGTTATATAATTTAATTTTATGAAAACATCGGTGTATTTGTACACTTCTTTCTTGTGGCAAAAATATTTTACTCCTTGACCTAAAGTTTTTCAGAAAATACAGGTTTTATGAAAATACATTTTTATCCTTATGAAGGCTTATCTTCAACTCTTTTCACTTGCTTTTATACCTTCTTGAACTGCTTTCTAATAAAAAAACTCAAATTTTCTTCATTGATTTACACTTTTTAAGAAGGCAATCTAACCATCATGATAAAATTTTCATATTGTCTGGGTATTACATTTTGACGATTATGAATGCAGTTATGCCCTTTTGGCAAATTAATTTGTTGTGCTGTAGGGACATGTGTGTCAACAAACACATTTCTAATTATTTCACTTATTTTATAGACCCTTAAATAATATACAGTGGTCATAGTGCCTTCAAAAGAAACTGATATTTGGTTTGTACATTAATGTACTATAGAGAAAACCTCATAATTCAGTTTGATAAGGTGAAGTAAAAGATAAACAAAGAGTATAGATGTATCTGGTTGGATCATATATCTAGTAGACCAAAAAGGGTATGCACCTTATTCCTTTAGAAAGTGAAGTCATGTACTGTATGTTTGCTATGAAACTCCCTTCATAAAGTCTCCAGGTGCATTATTTTATTGATATTATTCAACATTTATCTTCTCACAACCTCTCATTCTTCTCTCTACATGTCTATCTTTATTTCTCTGAGAATTCATTTTCCTTCAGCTCTCACTTGATCAGGAGGCAAGACTGACAGAAGCATTACCTTAGATTTAGGAGCACCAGTCAAAGGCCACCTTGTATGGTGGGTTAGCAAAAGAGAGCCAGTTAGAAACATGCTTAGCTTGTGTGTGTATGTATACCACCCCTGACCTCCCTCACACATGCCTCTCACCTACTATCATATCATCTGATTAATATAATGCAGTTTCATTTTACTGTGCAGTGTATTATAAGAAGTTTATCTCTTGTAACACTGGACATACAAAGTTAATAGACATAACATTACAGCTGCCATTCATGCCATACTTAAGTTATATATATATATATATATATATATATATATATATATATATATATATATATATATATATATATATATATATATATATATATATATATATATATATATATATATATATATATATATATATATATATATATATATATATATATATATATATATATATATATATATATATATATATATATATATATAACAGACCACAAATTAATTACAACATTCCAGTACTGTAACCAAAGAGATGTCCGACTTTTTTTGCTGAATAATGATCTGCGATTAAGGTATTGAATTTTGAGTAGGGATGTTAATTAATGACCCTTGAATTAATTATATCCATTATCATGTATTAATTCCACAATTCCTGTAAGTTTTAGGCACTTTTTTTCATATATTCTGCAGTCATGGTATGGTAAGGTTAGGGTAGGCTAGGCTTGGCTTTTGGATCGTGTAAACATAATAATATCCAATTAGAAAAAAGTAATAATAATAAGAAATACAAAACCTAAAGACTAAATTTAACTGGGTGACAAGACTGCCCACAGTATAAAACATTGCCCACCTGAGTAATCTGTTCTGCTATTAACTCATTAGTTTCTTCCTTGGACCACTTATCAGTTATAGATCTCAGGGTTGCTCTCTCCATTCCCTCTACTATAAGATTAAAATTTACTCTGCACTCCTTCATTTCTTTCACTATTATTTATGAGAAATGTATAACATAAATTTCCTGAGATTATAAAGAATATTTTTTATGATCCTCTTCTGAGGAAACATTTAACTTTTTCCTGCATTTCTTGTTAGTTTGTTATGTATTGAACATGGAACCCTCCAGTATCCTATGCCCAGAATTTACTGTCGGTAGGAGGTCAGTCTTGTACAGTATTAATTAACTGACAATAGGAATAACCCTCTTCCAACTGTCCGAGAAAATTTAACCAATGCAAACTTGTTGGTGGGTGAATGGGTGATAGTTAAGCATGTGACTGAGTGAGATTATAGCTGCCAGTGATTAAATATGCAATGCAAGATTAATGCGACATCATCCGCTAACACGGTGAAGCCTTATTTAACAGACTTGCTGTATACCTCTTCCTCTCACACCTGCTCTGCAAATCAGTGTGCAGGAAGTTCATTTAACCAAAAGCTTCATGATAACAATTTCTTCAGTCTCTTGTGAACAATTTACTCTTTTTGATCATTAATAGTTCTGGTATTGTTACTACATTATAGCTTCTCTTTGATTGTGTAACCTCTATTTAATGGACTATATGGAGAGGAAAGTCCGTTATATCAAGGGTCAGTTAGATGTGAAACCCCCATCAAAATTATTATATGGAAAGAGAAGTTTGTTATATGGAGGTTCCACTGTACAGTACATCTTTATCATGATGTTTGCCATTGAGATTTTATTGAACTTTGTGCTTTCTGTACTGTACATTGTGTCCTCTGTTTCTTTTTTTGTACTTGACTCTCTAGTTTAGGCAACTTGAGAGAGAGAGAAAGTTCAATAAAATGCCACCTGTTCAATACAGTGTTAAGAAGGCATGACTGAAACTTGAAGGAAGATTTTTTATTTATTATTGTTGGTTTAGCAAAATAAAAAAAAAGAGGAAATGTGCACATCTTCATTAATTTATAGTTTATTTTATAATTTTCTTTTAGGATTTCCCAGGGTTCCAAACTCCTAACTATAGATTTTCTTTTGTTTTGAGTCAGGTAAATGATTTGTTCTGTTGTGCATTAGATCCCCGAGTGCATGTGGAGCAGGGCTGTCGGGATTTCCGACCCTTGTTTATCAAACACGCAGATTGGTTCAAATCCGGTAATTCGTCTGCTAATCGGTAAATTGATGACGTAGTCGGTAAGCCGTGACGTCACTGCTCCGACTCTCGGTAAATTACCGACTTTAGGAAATATACTTTTTCATGGCTAAAATACCATATAGAATACACAGAAATAAATTTAGATGTATTTAATTACCTTACCTACATTTTACTAGCGATATTTTAGCAGAACTAAAGTAATACAAATTACAATTGATAAAATACAAATCTATTGTGATCTCATATAACACTGTGATTGGTGTATAATGCAGTGTTTATTATTCAGAAATTTATAAAACTAATGACAGAAACAATGAAATTCACTGAGTATGAGGACTACTCTAATATAATCACTGTATCTGGGATCTTCGTTACCCTTCACCAAACATTTTCCCTTCTCTTATAGAAAATCGTAATATTACGTCATGTTCTCGCAACCAATCACAACGCGAGCAGTTGAACCAGTCAGCGTGTTCGATTAACAAGAGTCGGAAATCCCGACAGCCCTGATGTGGAGTACACTAGGCATCTTGCCTCTTATTGATTGCTGGGTCTTTAGGCCACTACACTTGCATTTGCAGTCTAATACGCTCATCCCATCTTGATTAATTCATCTTGAACATGAACATCTCAACTTGTTCTATTTTAAATCTGATAATTTCAACTTTTTTTTTACCTGAAAATAGTTATTTTAACTTCCCTCCAAAAAACTCCTATTTTAATTTCAACTGTTTAATGAAATGACAATTTAAATCTCTCCTGTCTTAAAACTTATAATTTTAACCTATTCTCTCCTAATTATTACTGTTCCTCATTCATTTGTCATGTTAGTCTTCATAAGCCTTGCTAATCTTGTGTCTTGTTGCTGAGTTGTGTGGTTCACCTTAGCTACACGTATACTGTACTTAGTTTAACACCTCAGTTAACAGTACTCATTTTTTCTGTGTATGAGACCTTTTTGTAGTTGATTAATTAATTATAATAATCTTTGTGAAGGAAAATTGTTGTGTTAAATATTATTAGCAACTTGATTAAGATTTAGTATTGTTTTGTACTTTTAATATTATTTCAGTGGTTCTGATATAATTTAAAGTTACAAATGTCTTGAATGGAACTCATGAACCCATGTTTCTAAAGCAGTGGGCAAATTTTAATAACTGTAGTCTTTGTTATTAAAAATGCCTAATTTTTTTGTAGCTAAATGCTCTCCAAATAATCATCTGTTTAGAGTATGTTATGCATGTTATCAGATTAAGAACATATTAATCAACTTTTGCTTCTTTACCTTGAATAGTATTAACTGATGCATTGTAACCTTGCAGTGGTGGCCTCCAACTCTGGTCCTGGTGTGGCCCCCAACAACAGTGCCAGTGAAGGTGGTGGTGGCAGTGGTGGTGGTGGCAGTGGTGGTGGTGGCAGTTTGATGGATTCAATTGCAAATAACCTTAACTGGGATCATAACCTTCCAGCACCAGCATCCATTCTTCCTGGTGGTGCCAGCAACAGTAGTGGTGGCAGTAGTGTTGGCGGTAGTGGTGGAGGCAGCAACAATGCTGGCAATGTGACATCAGGAGCAGCGTCAGCAACAGGAGTTGTGGTCCCTGGACCGACGGGACCACTCATGAACAATGGTTCACGAGATATGTCATCTGCAGACTTGCAGAAGCTACAGCAGCAACTCCATGATATTAAGGAACAGGTGGGATTAATCACTGAATTCTTTGACTTTTCTGGTTTGAGAGGTACAGTACTGTACTGTACATGTACAGTCATGTTTTTGATTGTGGTTCATGTTTACTATCCTATACTTTACTAAGTCATGTTTAAACCAGCTCACAGAGACTTACATACGGTTACAACTACAGCAAGCACCAGAATAAAACCCAACCTCTTGCCTTTCTGAGCCCAACACTCTCCATGCAGACACTTGTATTTAGTAAGAGCAATTAATTGGAGGATAATCTGATGATCCAAGATAAACACTATGCTAGGTAGCTAGAAAATAAACATATGTATTAATTACAACCACATGTTTTCCATTTTATTAAAACAAAAAAAATTCTTTGTGTGACATAGATACAGTGAAACCTCTATTTAACAAACTATATGTGAGATGTTAGTCCATTATATGGAGGTCTGTTATTTGAAGGTTTCACTACACTCTGTGCTATATAGAATTTTGTCATGTACAGTACTCATCAAAGTAAAACTACTACTTCACAAAATATACCAGATATTTTTTTTTTACTGAAATATTGAAGAATTAGGATTGATTAACCATAAAGGAAAACATTGGTTGGATAAGCTGGTATTGTACTGATATAGGATGGTTATGGTATAGCAAAAGTATGTTCAAGCTGTAGATCAGTATACCTGTATACTGTATCATATAAAGTTTATACTTGAGTCCTATATATAGTGTGTAGTGACCTGTGGTGTAATGGTCAGCATCCTCGCCTTGCAAGCGAGCGGACCCGGGAAGGGTGAAACTATGGGCAAGTTTCTTTCGCCATTTGCCTCTTTTTACCTACCAGTAATTGGGAACCTGGATGTTAATCGATTTGTGGATTGTGTTCTGGGCTAATGGTTAGCCAGTGCAGTTGCTTAGTTGTCCGGTCTTCTCAGACTATTCCTTGACACTGGGTTATGCAACTCGTTAACTTAGTGTGTGGTTGTTGTGTTGGTTACAGCTTCTACTCCTTAAACAAATTCACGCCTAGATGGCCCTTGGGCCGGCCATCCTCATTACACAAGGGGCAACCATTATTATTATTACCTGTATATATAGTGTACAGTATTAAAGAATTATAACTTGTTTATCTCCGTCTTCAGACCATGTGTCCTGTGTGTCTTGATCGTCTCAAGAACATGATCTTCCTCTGTGGTCACGGAACATGCCAGATGTGCGGTGACCGTATGCACGAGTGTCCAATATGCCGCAAACCTGTGGAAAAGCGCATTTTGGTGTTCTGAGCCTAAGTGTGGGGCTCATGCAGTTTGATCAGAAGTTTGAGAGGTGCATTCCATGTTTTCCACAATCAAGACATAGATGCAAGCTTTCTTATAATATTTGTTGATTATTGTTTAAAGCAACTTTCAAGTCACTTCTGAGTGATTTGCTGAAAGTTCATTCCCTGTTATGTGAAGGAAATATACTGTACTGTATCCTGCGTTGAATACAATATTTTTAGACGGCCAGATGTTAACGTCGGCATTACTGCCTTTCAGTCTGAGTGATAACGATTTTATCATTTCTGTATTTGTAATTGATTTACATCTTGATGAAAAAGTGGCTATAAATCATTTAATATTTTATTCTTCCTAATTCAGAATAATCTTTTTACTGTACAATCTATAGTTTTACCATTGAAAGAATTTTTATTGTAAAGTACAATAGTTTTTAAACAAAATATTTTCTCAACTTTGTAACTTGTGAGCCAACAATATTACCCATATTTACTGTACACTGAATCTGCGGTACTGACATTTTGTGCTCAATAAAGCCACACCACAGTTTTTATTTAAATTTAAAGGAATTAAACATCTATATTAGTTGTTGTTCTAGAAATTGTGTTGTGTTGTTTCACATATTATCTTTTTTTAATATGTATTATACTTGTGAGTGAATAAGTCGATGTAAAGTTTTATTTTTATTTCATTTTAATAATTCTTTTGCATGCCCTTCTCACATGTAGTTTACCAAAAACAATATTTTTTTCCTGCAGTTATAAATACTTTACACCAAGTTGTGACTCATGCACATATTTGCTGTAAAATGTGGATGAATTTCTTTTATGTTTAACTTTTTAATACAGGCATTTCCTAAATTTATTAGGTATATCTTTGAATTTTCTCCTGCATGAACTCATGAATTCTCTTCAGTTATTGGTGATCCTGATTTTATCCTACTACGGGCGTCCCTCAGTATATAAATGGGTTAAGTTCCTTGAAAACCTTTCCTTAAGGGAATATTTATATATCAAATAACATAACATATAGGGGAAAATAGGGTTCAGTTCCCTAATGACAAGAAAACCTTAATGTCATACCTAAAAAAAAAAATTAAATCAGTTCATAAACAACAAAAATAATCTACCTAACTACTGTAATTTGCTCCATTACCTTAAGGGACCATATTTGTATAAGCGAGAAGAGCTTTCATGTAAAGAGAAAGAGGTGTAAGAAAACAATATTATTTTAATCAAATATATATACGTAGTGTGAATATTTGTATAGTGAGGGATCCCTGTACTGGCAGCTAAGCTTACCATCTCTACACCATTCAGTTTACTTCTTCATATTTGTTTATCTTGTTCCATGGCCGAGCAATAAGGTGTTGGCTGGCACTAGAAAATATGATTAATTAATTAATTATGTACAGTATTACTAATTTACAAAATGTGTACTGTGTTGTTTTTGGCATGACTTGCACATTCATTTTTATCTGTCAGACTTAATTTTATCATTTATAACAATATACTGTATCAGGATTGATTGAGCATCTCCCTATAGCCAACATACCTGGGGGTTTTAAGCAAACTCTTGGAGCAAACTAAACACACTTACAATGTAATGTAAATATACTGTACTGTGTTTACAAAACTAACACATATGACAGTGTGTCACCACCAGTCAATACCTACCATATGTAAAAACCTAATATAAATACTTAGTTATCTGTAAGGTCTCAGGAGGTACTGAATGTCTCCTCTGTTCAGTGGTGGAAATGGATCTGTTGTGTTTATCCTTGTAAAAATCTTATAGTTGAAGCTTAGTAGATCAAAATGTACATCTTTATACTCAACAGCAAAGCCTATTCAGCCTTCTCTGTTTTTAGGATACTCTTATACCTACGATTATCCTTCAAGAGTTTGCTGAAAAGGCAAAGTATAATCCACTTTTCAAATTTGTTCAATACTTAGATACTAGTCACACAATAGAGGGGATATAGATAAAGTTCTTATAATATCCGAGCAGGATAGGACTCGGAGCAACGGATTTAAGTTGGATAAGTTTAGGTTTAGGAGGGAGATAGGAAGAAACTGGTTCACAAATATGGTGGTGGACGAGTGGAACAAGCTTAGCAACTTTGTAGTAAGTGCTGGAACTCTGGAAAGTTTCAAAAGGAGGCTAGATAGATTCATGGATGATAGAGAGTGGTAGTAACTCTCGACAGGAGCTGCCATGCACAGGCCAACCGGCCTATTGCAGACTCCTTATTTTCTTATGTTCTAAGTTTGGGGCCTTGGGATTCAACCCCTTGGATTTGGTGACTGTACAGAGTTGCTCAATCCTGACTTAGGCTATGTAATGATACAGTATCTCAGACTCATTCTAGCATTTATTTATTTATTTTATTTTTTAAGGTCATGAAAATATAAGTCATATGAAAAGCAAACTACCTATTACCTTCTTGTGGAAATTAGTCTCCCTATGTACATTATCTTTTTGGGGAACTAATTTTTGTCTCCTACTGCATAAAGGGATGGGACCTGGAAATGCTGTTTATTTGTGTATAGGACTTTAGAACACGGTACCTCGAGAACAAATTGAGTGAGAGTCCCAGTCTTTTGCTCAGTGCTGCCTTATGTGAGCCTCTCGAACAAGTTTGATAATTAATCAGTCTTTCCCCTCCTTAGATATTTGGGGGAAAACTGTACCTTTTGTGTCACTGTTCGTAGATCTTTTTTCCAGTGCCCCCGGGTTTTGACCCTACTGGATCTTGTTAACTTGATATTAAATATTAAACGGAAGAATTTTTCCTCCAAGTTTAAACTTTACTTGCTTAAATACAGTATATATAATATGCCTTTTATACAGTGTGCAACATTACATATGTATGATGAAGCCAAAGAAAAAAGGTTACTAGAATTTTTTTTTGTAAACACATCTGTAGGGGTACTGTATGCAGTTTGTATTTTACAAGGGCGGATGGGGGGGGGGGGGTCCTGGGGGTCCGGAGCCCCCCTTTTCACCAGAAAATTCCAATACTTTTTTCTTTATGCAGTATTGTATTCAGGCATTTTTGTATAGTAAAAAGTGTATACTATTGACTTCAGAATATAATCTAATACTGTATCAAGTGTGCATGGCTTCAAAATGGCCTCAAAATGCCCATGATATTGGTCAGATTTCAAAAAAATTTCAGGGGGCTTGCAGACCCCCCCAAACCCCCCAGCTGGGTGGGCTCGCTGCGCTCGCCTTGTTCCCCCACCCACAACTTCTTGGACCCTCGTTTTAATATTCCTGGATCTGCCCCTACCTTATTTGACCCTTTGGCCACGTAATTAATTTCCAGTTACATATCCAAGGAATGTCAATTCTCTAGTAAAATATGAAAAGAGTAACTGGTCCTTTCCTACTACTGTACTGTACTATTTTTTTATCAAGACAAAACCTTAAAGTTGCCACAGCTGACAATAATATTTCTGATGGCAGCAGAAGGAAAATATGAAAACAAAAGTATTTATGGATTCCTCATTTTAATCTATAAATATTTGCTAACATTATACCAATTGCTGTTAAAAAATCATAAGTGTTACTCAAGCGTTAGATGCAGAATATTATATTATAAAACTACAAAATTTACTGTGTTAATTTTTAACACTTGTAAAAGAAAATTATTTTATGTCATGTCAATTGATTTTAGTTGAGCAATCAAACAAGACAGACACTTTATATTATCATGTTCATAACTTAACTAAATACTCCACTGTAATGTTGAAAATAAAGTAAAATGGAGAAGATAAAGATAAATACATCACAGAGCAGGTGGTGACAGTCAGCTGATTGAGTCATTGGTTAAGTGTGAGATTTAACTCTGCCACCGTGTAGGGGCAGTATATTCCTGTACTGGTACCATTTAGTGGTCGACGAACCACACAGGATGTTCAAATTGTTTTCTGACAACTGCCGACCTAAGTCTTACTTTGCAGTGAGAAGGAATGTTGTGTTTTATGTCTTTAGTCATACTGTAATTCACTGCCAAAGGGTTAAACTGAAAAGGGCCATAAAACGTTTGTAATGATGAAGAGATTATATGTCTCATCCGTTATTCAAGTCACACTTTCACATAATGCATTACACTCCCCTGGAACTTTTAACTTTTATTAATGCACAAACTCTTCAGCAGAGAACTGTACAGTACTATGCTTGATACATATTACAGTAAAGTATGCTTATTTCTCCCAGGGGAGGTGACCCTTTAGCATATCTCTCAATACATACCAATTTCAAGTAAGGTTTACTGCCATATTTTTTAGTCTTTTTATCATTATTGTAAATATTCATCAGTCATCCATTACTTGTTTATAATTAAAGGTGAATTAATCACACAAAGGTTTTGATATACTGTACAGGTATTTGTATTATAATTTTTTTTCTTTGGTTCAGATTGTTCAAGTATCATCAAAGATTGTTCAAGTATCATCAATTTAAATGTCAACCACAGTACTTTCCCCCTGCTTATCTGGACATTAAAACTTTGCAAACTTTACAGGGTGAAAAAAGTACTGTAGCAATATTCATGCTGTTAAGACAATTGATATTACATTCAAGCTGCAGTAATCTGAGAGTAAGACTTGTTCCAATTAGTTATATCTGGTGAGATCATTTAGCTGCAGAACGAGACCATGTTAATGTGTAAAAATTTAGATTATGTGATTGTAACGTACAGATTTATATTTTATATGACTGACATTGTTATACTTTGGATCTAAGCTGTGATATAGTAAGCAATTTTCTTCTGGTGAATATCTTGTCTCACTTTCCATCTGCATGATTGAAAATATGGTACAGTCACTACAGTACTGTAATGTTAGGACATGACAAGTATTACAGCACTCTTGTAATGGTCCTTAAGGTCTGCTGGATAAGTCTGACGTATGAAGGATTTTCTATATGTTTCCAGTATCATATAGTGATATCTTCTGTAATCTATATACATAAATTGATATTTGTACAGTGAACAAAGATTGGTAAAAAAATCATTTAGCTTGTAGAGTAAAAATTGTATATAGCTAAGTAGACTGTATAGTGTAGCTTATCATAATACTAAAATCTTGTCACTAGTGTGGATGCATAATAATACAAGGAGTAATGTTACCTGCCTTTTATATCAACTTGTAAACTTCCTCTCCAGAAAATAAATGAGGTAGTGCCTGAACCTGAAATATAAAGAGAGCTTAAGGAATTCACACATTTGATATATACACTGTATGTACTGTGCTTAAATACCATGATCAGTAATGCTGTATAGCAAACCAATTATACCAAAGGAATTTTTTGGAATCAAAGGGTTCAAAAAAAGGCAGACAAGTATAAAAAAAATATGTAGTCATACATTTAATCTGAGATGTATATTTTAAAAACAAATTGTAAACATCCTGTGATTGATTTATCAGTGTAAATTCAGTATTTAAAAAATTATGACTGTTTTCTGTTAAACCATTGACTACTAACTTTTGAATGCTTATTTCAAGATTGAAATTGTTGTGTTTGTACTTGTATGATGCTGCAGCTTGTAATACCGGTGTGAGGTACAGAAAAAAATCTCAGCTTGACCGAGAAAATACATAACATATATTTATTGTAGATTTACTTCACCATGCAGTAGTTTCCTTTATATTTATCAACTTATAATTGTGCTTCACTTGGATATCCCTTCATGGTGGAACCTTGAATCTTGGGCCTGTAAAATCTTCTCCACTTCACCAGTACCTAAATTTGCAATAATGAAACTTAGCTGGGGAATAGGGGAATAGGGTGGAGGCGTATTTTGTCCTGGAGAAGCTTCACACTACATCGAAGAGTATATATTATTTGTAACTTGTTTTGTCTGGCACATATTAGCAAATTTTCCATTCCGATTTTGCATTTTTGAAGGCTATAAATTACCAGTACTGTATCCTTTAACCATCCCAGACAACAGAGGTCATTGTTTCACCTACCACGACAATAGTATATCTTGAATTTCTTTTATAAAGATGTTCAGCCATAGCACAGTACTTTGAGTGCTTAGTTTGAATCCACACATTGTTTTCAGTTCTAAGGGCCTATGTCCACTTGAGAGTAAAGTTCT